CACCACACCTGGCTAATTTTGTATTTTTAATAGAGATAGAGTTTCACCATATTGGTCAGGCTGGTCTCCAACTCTTGACCTCAGGTGATCCACCTGCCTCTGCCTTTCACAGTGCTGGGATTACAGGTGTGAGCCACTGCACCCAGCCAATAAAAAGTTTTTGAAAAACGATTTGGATAAAACAGTTGGGGAAATGGCATTTTTGTTGAAAGCCAACTATTATGTTTGGAATATCTTTTGTTTGGAGTTCTCCATTACAGAGTTCCCCAATGTTCATATTAAGAAGTAACACTGTGCAGAGGAATGCATTGTTTAGATTAGCATTCACCGACCTTTTTGGCACCAGGAACCGGTTTCATGGAAGACAATTTTTCCATAGATCTGGGGTGGGAAGTGTTTCAGGCTAAAAGGGTTCCACCTCAGATCATCAGGCATTAGATTCTCGTAAGGAGTAGGCAACCTAAATTCCTCACATGTGCAGTTCACAGTAGGGTTCTCACTCCTATGAGAATCTGATGCCACCGCTGATCTGACAGGAGGCTGAGTTCAGGAGGTAATGCTCGCTAGCCTGCGGCTCACCTCCTGCTGTATGGCCCAGTTCCTATCAGGCCATGGACCAGTACCCATTTGTAATCTGGGGACTGGGGACCCCTGCTTTAGATGATGTACTCTGGCTTTGCGTTCTGGCATTGGCTAAGCACCCTCTTAAAGGAAGTTGGGTCAATACTCTCATTCTGTGTTTTTCCTAACAGCTGGAAACATTGAATCCCTGCAATGCTGGGAAGTTACTCCAACCACAACTAGAATAGTTGCCGGAAAGACAACAGTTGATTTTGAAGAATGTCACCAATTTGGACGATTCCATCCTTAACCATTCTTATCCTATCGGCTCCACCAAACATGAAGAGTAGTTGGCTGCAGGACAGCTATTTTCCCTACTTGTAGATGCAGCTATTTCTCACCCATCAAGACATAAAAGGTTCCTGTACCCTAAGATTGATTCTACATACACACCCAATGGGAAAACAGGATGAAAATTTTAAAGCAGTAAATACTTGAGGAAGTAGACAGAGTAATTTAGAAAAAGAAAATATATAGGGTCAAGCACAGTGGCTCACACCTGTAATCCCAGCACTTTGGGAGGCCGAGGTGGGAGGATCACTTGAGCCCAGGAGTTTGAGGCTACCTAGACAATGTAGTGAGACTCCCACCTCTACAAAAAATTAAAGAATTAGTTGGGCTTGGTAGTATGCACCTGTAGTCCAAGCTACTCAGGAGGCTGAGCTGAGGCAGGAGGATTTCTTGAGCCCAGGTGGTCGAGGCTGCAGTGGGCCATGCTTGCACCAGTGTACTCCAGCCTGGGTGATAAGAAGTAACACTGTGCAGAGGAATGCATTGTTTAGATCAGCATTCACGAACATTTTTGGCACCAGGAACCAGTTTCATGGAAGGCAATTTTTCCACAGATCTGGGGTGGGAAGTGTTTCAGGCTAAAGTGTTCCAGAAAGAAAAGAAAAAGAATATATGATGTATATCATATAAAAATATACATAAGGGAGGCTGAGTGCAGTGGCATGCCTGTAATCCCATGACTTTGGGGGACTGAAGCAGGAGGACCGCTTGAGGCCAAGAGTTCAAGACCAGCCTGTGCAACATATTGAGACCTCATCTCTGCAAAAACTCAAAAAATGAGGCAGGAAGATGGCTTAAGCCCAGGAGGTCAAGGCTTCAGTAAGCTGTCATCACACTACTACACTCTAGGCTGGGTAACACAGAGAGACCCTGCCTGAAAGTAAATAAATTCATACATACATATGTATGGAGACTTGTTTCTTTCCATTTGAAATGTTTCATTCGAAGGCTAGAATTAAATTGCCATAGGCCATTGCAAGTTTAGCTTGAATAAATTATTAATATTTTTTGAGATGGAGTCTCACTCTATCACCCAGGCTGGAGTGCAGTGGCATGGTCTTGGCTCACTGCAACCTCTTCCTTCTGAGTTCAAGCAGTTCTCCTGCCTCAACCTCCCATGTAGCTGGGATTACAGGCACCCACTGTCACACCCGGCTAAGTTTTGTGTTTTTAGTAGAGACAGGGTTTCACCATGTGGGCCAGGCTGGTCCCAAACTCCTGACCTCAGGTGATCTGCCCACCTCATGCCTTTAATCCCTCCCAAAGTGCTGGGATTACAGGCATGAGCCACCACACCTAGCCTACCTTGAAAATTTGATCGGAGTTTGTTTTTTCTATTTATAGGCCAAGAAATACCATGTATAAATATTAAGAATCATGGGCGTTCCTTAGTGCCTAGTTGTTTATAAACCATGGGAAAGAATGAAATCATTGACCAAGTGAGGCAGGGCAACAGTCTTCCCTGGGAATAAAGAGACTAGCATTCTCTACTGACATACATTTTAGGCCTGCCCTCCAAAAGAAATCTACCCAAAGAAGTGATGTGTTTGTGTCCAGGGCTCCCAAGCCTAACCTGTGGCTGCCTCTGTGTTATTCTAAGTTATAATTTTCCGTGCCATCTAAATTTATAATAATTCTTTAATATGACAGTGTTTCAGTGAACAAACATTCTGCTTGCTGCATTTCTTCTGAGTGAGTAATTCCCTGACAACTACCAGATCTTGGCAGAAGCAAACCTGGTCATAACTTATGCTCCACTCTCAGTGTGGTGAAACCTATGATGCGTAACACAGTGTTTTTGAATTCAGTGCTGATTTTCCTAAAGGACATTTGGGAGGAAAAAAGAAAAGGAAAGGAAATATCCAAATTCAGGAATAGAACTTACATATTGTTATAGGACTTAAAAAATACATGAACACAAATGATGAACTCATTTATTTGAAGTAAAAGACCTTAAGCTATTTTTCCCATTTCTCTGTGTGGCTTGACTGTGGCGAAAGTCGCTTTGTGAGTTTCCATTATTGAAGCAGTTAAGGTCTGTGGAATCAAAGCGTGAGACAGCATGCAGGGGCCAGGTTGGTTTCCATGTCACAGCCAATCTAATCTAACTGAAAGGATGGAGAGGTTTGTCTTTTTTGGATAACGTTAAGATTCTTCCAAGTAACCAGCAGTGTGACTTTACCACACTGTTCATTAACAGGGGTTTGGATGGCCACCATGTCTGCTGCTGGCTGAGTCCAAAACTGCGGTCACCTTCTCCAGCAAGCTCATGCAGGGTTACGTCATCTTCACTCAGCCAGCCCAATGCTTTTTCCATCTGCTAAAATATAGAACATGGTTGCCAATTCTACTCTTTCTACAAAGAGAGACAGGGAACATAGATGAGTTGCTGCTTTTAAAGATTGTATGTTAATTGGTATTTTAAAAACCTGTTAAACTAAGCACGCCTAGTGTGGGCAGTTACAGTCACCATGGTGTTTTTTAATAGGACAGTTTCTGCTCTTACGGAGCAGAGCTTTTGTGCCAGTGGGTTAGAAGCATAACATGTTTCTGTATTGAAATGATTCTCCAGCCAGGACTTCTTTTCATCAGGGGTGACCTAAAAGGTATTATGTGCAATGTAGTTACATCATGTTCTTAACTGGGTTTAGTAGTAGGATAATTACAAGGTTGTGTCCACGTCAAATAGGAAGAACTGGCAAGTTTTGCACAATTATTTAACTCCTCTGTTAGGCCTTCCTTACTTCCTGTTCTCCTTTTAAAATTTTGCTAAGATATTGCTAATGGGTTTGGGAGCTTATAAAATGATCAGGATTCTTGCCTTATGTTTTGCATGTTGGAGTAACAGTGGACCTAGATGTATTCGTAAGTAAAAGGTGGACCTACAAAACCAGTTTCTTAGTTGCTTTCAAAGTGTGCTAAGAAAAAATAAAGTAAAAATAGGAGAATCTCCTTTATAGATGATTCTGTTTAGTTTGTGCTTTTTTTGTTGTTCCTTTTTGCCATTTATGAGATTTCTTAAATAAAATGATATCTTTTCTTTTTTTCATTATTATCTTAAAGGTCTCTGGGGAACAAGACTCATGGAGGAAAGCAGCACTAACCGAGAGAAATACCTTAAAAGTGTTTTACGGGAACTGGTCACATACCTCCTTTTTCTCATAGTCTTGTGCATCTGTAAGTAGAATATTTCCTTCCACTAATGGAAAAGTTTTGAAAAGACTTGACCTATCTGAATCATAATTAAAAAGAGTTGCACCAGAGGAGCAACTTAGAAGTTACTTCCTTACCTTTGTATTTAATTCTAATTTTTTTTATTTAGGTATTTGTTTATTGACTATCTTCCTGTAGTAGAATGCAAGCTTTATAAGAGAAGGGATGTGATTTGTTCTCTGCTGTACCCCCGTTTCCCAAAACTGGGGATGGCAACGGAAGGTTCTGAAAAATGTACAAGAAAGAATTTGATCAAGTGCTCAGTGACTGTGGACTTGCCATTAACACAGGAAGGGAAAGTCAAAGAGTTCAATTCCAATTTAGAATTTGGTCAAGTTCTCTTCTGCACTCTGGCAAACATTAATTAAAAATCAGCATTATCTGACCAGCCAGTTCATTGTCAGTGGTGACAATTTTCACTGTGAGATACATGTGGCAACTTGCCAGACACCACAAAAGCAAGTTAGAGGATATTTGTCTTAGATTTCTTAACAGTGAATGCAGCGTCACTATTATTACAGTGTCATCATTATTGTCATACTGTTATATCAGTTAACATAAAGTCTGCATAAAAATTATTTCCAGAAAAATGGCTTTCCAAATTTGACTTTCAGGAAAAACAAATAATGCCACTAATACTGCTTTTATTGGCTTTTATATGTAAAAGTCCCCTTCTTTTGGATTTGGATATGTTGTGTCAATGCATTATTTTAATTCATTATTTCTTCTCAATCTTTAATAATTGCTGGCCTTTTACTCCACAAGAAACTTGCTGTAGACTCATGTCTTTCCTTTTCTTCCCTTCTTTCAGCTTGTCCTCCCATCCTCTGGCGGGGGAGAGGAGGGACACCTGAGCTAGACTAGTCATAGGAAACATTTGTCTCAAAGTCCAGAAAGCCACAGGTGATGGATTTGTCCTCTGAATCCAAGGGTGTTGGATGATGGATTTCTGTCATGTCCTTATCGCAAGAACAGATAAGGAAGCAGATTTATGACCCCAGAGCCTCCTACCAAACTCCTCTGAGAAGAGTTCCTTTTTTAAAAAAATTAGAGACAGGGTCTTGATCTGTTTCCCAGGCCAGAGTGCAGTGCCACAATCACAGCTCACTGCAGCTTTGAACTCTTAGACTTGAGTAATCCTCCCACCTCAGTCACCCAAGTAGCTAGGACTACAGCTGCACACCACCATGCCCAGCTAACTTTTAAACATTTTTGTAGAGGTGAAGTCTTACTTTGCTGCCTATACTGGTTTCCAACTCCTAGCTTCAAGTGATCATCCTGCCTCAGCCTCCCAAAGTGCTGGGATTATAGGCATGAGCCACTGCATCCAGCCTGGATGTGACATTTTTATGATTTAAATTGTTAAGAGTTTAGAAACTGAGATTGAGTTTGCTGCCTGCATTAAAATGGTGCTTAAATATTAAACTGCAGTGGCCTTGAATATTAACAAGTTGATTAGAATTATTAAGTTCTTCTCAGTCATTACATATACAGACAAATTTCTTATGTAAAATAGAAGGTAACTCCTCTACATAAGTCTAGAATTTCAGCAGTCCCTAAAAGTGACTGAGCATTAGAATCACTCAGTGACTTTAGAATATATATGTGGTTTTCCTAGATCTCCTAACAGAGTCTCTAAAATATAACCTAGAGAAACGAGTTTTCAGATGCCGTGAAAGTAAGCCAGAGAAGTAAGCTAAAGACAGACAGTGTTAGGAAACATGCCTAAAGTCATATAATGAATTGCTTTTCTTGTTTGAGAATATTGTTGCTTTTTGTTCTTTTTCACATGAATCACATTTTATTTCTTATATGAGTAGCTATATATTTAAAATTTTTACTTTCGGAATATTGTAGAATCTCTGGTTAAGAAGGTAACTTAATAATCACATGGTCTGACCTTACTGGATGCTAAAAACCTCTTTAAAACATCCGTCTCAGATGGTTACTCACCCTGCCTCTGATTGAACAAGAGTCCCAGATTAAGGGACTTACTTCTTTGAAATAGTTCCTTTCATTTTTCTACAGCTATGTTAGAAAGTTTTTCCTTCAGTGAAACCAGAATCTATCTCTTGTAACTTCCACCCAGTTGCACCCTCCAAGCCTATGTATACCAAGTATCTTTTCTATGCTGCTTTTCCAGTTCAGCTCTTCGGAGGTTGGGAGACAGATACCTAATGTCCCCTAAGACTTCTCCAGGTTAAGCCTTTCCAGTTCATCCAACTGTTGATTATGTGACTGGAGACACAAGTTTGAGTAACTCCCTTGATGGGAAGTCCCTCTGGTCCATGTTCTGTTCATCAAAGTCCCTAGAAAGCACACGAGCCTCTCTGTGGTGAGTGGGACCATGAGATTCCTCAGTCAGACACTACACTGTGGCTTCTGCAACCTACCATGGCCAGACTCATGAGGCTATCTCATCATATAAATGATTCCTTGGTCTCTTCACAAAAACGGTGAAGCACTGTGTCCCCCAGCTGTATGTGAGCTAGTCTGGGATCATAGTGGAGGACTTCTCTTTCAACCTGTTAAATTTCATCTCGTTAGGATTTACCTATTTTTCAATTCTGTTGAAATTATCTTGGATCTGGATTCATTCATCTCACATCAGCTACTCCCTGAAGCCTCACAGTACCAGCAGAGTTATTATCTTTATCCATATCCTTGTAAATTTTGAAACCAAGAAATATTAGTCTAAGAACATCAGTTCATTAATGAAGGCTCTGATTGGAGTTCACTTTATTATATTATCATCCAGCTCAGAGTGTTCATAAACAAGATGATAGGAAAGACTTTTCCAAATCCTTGTCTGAGTAATTCCACCATTCTTCTGATCTGTGAGCTGTTGACCAGATTAAAAAGGAAGTGGGAATAACCAGGCAAGATTTACTCCTAGCAAAGCCTTACAGGTTTCTAGTGATTGAGTCCTTTCCCTATTGCTTACAGGCCATCTTTTTAATTACTAGTTTTAAAATCTTGCCAGCAACATCAATATTAAGTGACCAAGAATATCAAATTCATTACTCTGTATGTAAATGAGATAAGATAGTGTACTTACCTCTGTGCCTTGGGTATTAGGCTGTTCTTGCATTGCTGTAAATACTTGAGTCTGAGTAATTTATAAGAAATGAGGTTTGGCCAGGCACTTTGGCTCATGCCTGTAATCCCAGCACTTTGGCAGGCTGAAGCATGTGTATCGCTAGAGCCAGAAGTTCAAACCTAGCCTGAATTACAAGGCAAAATACCCTCTCTACAAAAGATACAAAAATTAGCTGGGCATAGTGGCATGCATCTGTAGTCTCAGCTGCCCAGGAGGCTGAGGTGGAAGGACTGTTTGAAGCTGGGAGTCAGTGATTGCAGTGAGCCATGATTGCACCACTGCACTCCATCCAGCCTGGGCAACAGAGCAGGAACCTGTCTCAAAAAAAAAAAAAGAGAGAGAGAAAAGAAAAGAGGTCTAATTGGCTCATGATTCTGCAGGCTGTATAGGAAGCGTAGCTCCAGCATCTGCTTCTGGGGAGGACTCAAGGAGCTGTTCCTCATGGTGGAAGGTGAAGCAGGAGCTAGCACATCATGTGGTAAATGCAGAAGCAAGATAGAGTGGGGCCTGGAAGGAGCCACACACTTTTAAATGATCAGATTTCATGAGAACTCACTCATTATCTCAAGGACAGTACCAAGAGGATGGTACTAAATTATTCATGAGATATCCACCCCCATGATCTGATCACCTCACACCAGGCCCCATCTTCAGCATTGGAGATTATGTTTCAACATGAGATTTGGATGGGGACAACATCCAAAAAATGGTAGGGTTTTGGCAAGCAGTTTGACATAGTAAGAAAAATACGGATATTTTTTGCATCAAAGAAACTTAAGTTCAAATCCCAGCTCCACCACTGGCATGATAGGGAAATGCGGGCAAGTTAATTAACCTTTCTAAGCCTTGATTTCCTCATTCCTAAAACATGTATTTGGAAATACCGTTGTGAAAATTAGAAATAATATATGAAAAGATCCTAGGATGCTGTCTGTCATACAGTAGTAGTATTAAGAAGTTATTCTTGCTAAAGATTGTTGAGAATGGCAGAATTATCTCAGTTAGTTCTAAGAGCTAGTTTCTAATTGTTTGAGCACAGACTCAGATTTATTTGGAGCAGCTAACTGCTCACCAAGAGCTTATTTTCCATCTTACCAATGAAAGTTTTGTTCCTGTCTTTTACAAATAAGTCTACTTAACCAAGAGAACAGAAATGACATGAGAATTAGGTAATCCCACTTTCTCTGTAATTCAGGATTTATTCTTACTTGAAACCTGAGAGTTGCTATGAATTCACCATTAAAATATTTATTAATATACATGGGTTACTGTTATAAATAGCAATAGTATTGCTATTCTGTGAGTTAGGTGTTGAAGTTAAAGAAAGGAATAAAGAATATTTAGAAGATCTTTGAAAACAATGGCTGGTCATGGTGGCTCATGCCTATAATCTCAGCACTTTGGGAGGCCAAGGCAGGTAGATCACTTGAGGTCAGAAGTTCGAGACCAGCCTGGGGAATGTGACAAGATCTCATTTCTACAAAATATGCAAAAATTAGCTGGGCATGGTGGCATACACCTGTAGTTCCAGCTACTCAGGAGGCTGGAGCATGAGAATCACTTGAACCCAGGAAGCAGAGATTGTAATGAGCCAAGATTGCACCACTGCACTCTAGCCTGGGCAATAGAGTGAGACTCTGTCTCAAAAAAAAAAAAAAAAAAAAGAAAAGAAAAGAAAGAAAAGAAAAAAATGGAAAGAAGGTATTTGGTGAATCTATGACAAAAATATATTTGCCATTTCCTTTTTCTGTGCTCTCTACTCATTCTATAAAATTGAGTAAAATATCTACAAGTTTAAACACAATAATAGAAATCACAAAAGTTAGTTGAGTCAACATTATAGAAATGTAGCATTTCTATATGTCAAAGAAATAGACAGCATTAAAAAGCAGAAAGCAATTGCAAAGAATGATTATAAGAAATATCACAAAGCGTTAATATTTTAACACATTTGAAACTTGAAAATCACTGAGAAAAACAGTAGACTTCCATAAATATTTTACAGAGTAGAAAATATAGGCCGGACATAGTGGCTCATGCCTGTAATCCCAGCACTTTGGGAGGTTAAGGTGGGTAGATCATGAGTTCAGAAGTTGAAGACCAGCCTGACCAAGATGGTGAAACCTTATCTCCACTAAAAAATTTAAAAATTAGTTAGGCATGGTGTCAGGCACCTGTAATCCCAGCTACTTGGGAGGCTGAGGCAAAGAATTGCTTGAACTCAGGAGGCGGAGGTTGCAGTCACTGCACTCCAGCCTGGGTGACAGAGCAAGACTCCATCTCAAAAAGACAAAGAAAAAATAATTCATGTGTAGGCACAGTGGCTCATGCCTATAATCCCAGTACTTTAGGAAGCCAAGTTGAGAGGATCACTTGAGGCCAGGAGTTCCAAGGCCAGCCTGGGCAACATAGCGAGACCTGTCTCTATTAAAAATTTTAAAATTAGCCAGGTACGGTGGCACACACCTGCAGTCTCAGTTACTTGGGAGCCTGAGGCAGGAGGATTGCTTGAGCCCAAGTTTGAGGCTGCAGTGAGCCATGATTGCACTACTGCACTCTAGCCAGAGCTATAGAGTAAGACCTAGTGTCAAAAAGGTAAAAAAATAAAAATTAACCCGGCATAGTGACACATGCCTATAGTCCCAGCTACTCAGGAGGCTAAGGCAAGAGGATCACTCGAGTCTGAGAGATGGAGCTGGCAGTATGCCATGATCATGCCACTGCACTCCAGCCTGGGTGACAGAGTGAGACTCTGTCTCAAAAATAAATAAAATTAAATCAAAGAAAATTTATTCAAATAGGAAAGTGATACGGTTTGGCTCTGTGTCCCTACCCAAATCTCATCTCCAATTGTAATCCCCATGTATTGAGGGAGGTTCCTGGTGGGAGATAATTGGATCATGGGGGTGGTTTCCCCCATGCTGTTCTCATGATAGTGAGTGGGTTCTCATGAGTTCTGGTTGTTTGGTAGGTATCTGGCACTTCCCCCTTCTTTTTCTTTGTCCTGCTGCCTTGTGAAGAAGGTGCTTCCTTCTTTGCCTTCTGCCATGATTATAAGTTTCCTGAGGCCTCCCCAGCCATTCAGAACTGTAAGTCAATTAAACTGCTTTCCTCTATAAATTACCCAGTCTCAGGCAGTTTTTTATAGCAGTGCGAAAATGGACTAATGCAGAGACTTGGTATCAGGAGTGGGGTACAACTATAAAGATAACCTGAAAATATGGAAGCGACTCTGGAACTGGGTAACAGGCAGGGTTGGAACAGTTTGGAGGGCTCAGAAGCAGACAGGAAGATGTGGGAAAGTTTGGAACTTCCTAGAGACTTGTTGAATGACTTTCACCAATATGCTGATAGTGATATGGATAATGAAGTTCATGCTAAGGTGGTCTCAGATGGAGATGAGGAACTTACTGGGAACTGGAGCAAACATCACTCTTGCTATGTGTTAGCAAAGAGACTGGTGGCATTTTGGCCCTGCCCTAGAGATCTGTGGAACTTTGAAGTTGAGAGGGATGATTTAGAATAACTGGGAGTGGAAATTTCTAAACAGCAAAGCATTCAAGAGGTGACCTGGCTTTTCCTGAAAGCATACAGTTATATGTGCTTACAAAGAGATGGTTTAAAATAGGAACTTATGTTTAAAGGGGAAACAGAGTCCAACAAAAGTTTGGGGAGTTTGCAGGCTGACCAAGTGGTAGAAAAGAAAAAGCCATTTTCTGGGGAGAAATTCAAGCTGGCTACAGAAATTTGCATAAGTAATGAGGAGCTGAATGTTAATCACCAAGACAATGGAGAAAATGTTTCCAAGACCTTCCAAAAATCTTCAAGGCAACCCTTGCATCATAGGCCTGAAGGCCTAAGAGGGAAAAATGGTTTTGTGAGCCCAACTGCTCTTTGCAGCCTTGGGACATGGCACCCTGTGTTCCAGCCACTCCAGCACCAGCTGTGGCTGAAAGAAACCAAGGTATAGCTCAGACCATTGCTTCAGAGGGTGCAAGTTCCAAGCATTGGCAGCTTCCATGTGGTGTTCGGCCTGTGGGTGCACAGAAGACAAGAGTTGAGCTTTGGGAGCCTCCGCCCAGATTTCAGAGGATGTTTGGAAACACCTTGATGTCCAGGCAGAAGTCTGCTGCAGGGGCAGAGCCTTCATGGAGAACCCCTACTAGGGCAATGCAGAGAGGAAATGTGGGGTTGGAACTTCCACACAAAGTCCCCATTGGGGCACTGCCTCATGGAACTATGAGAAAAAGACCACCATTTTCCAGACCCCAGAATGGTAGATCCACCAACAGATTGCATTCTGCGCTTAGAAAAGCTGCAGACACTCAAATGCCAGCCTGTGAAAGCAGCTGCAGGGACTGTACCCTGCATCGCCAGAAGTGGAGCTGTCCAAGACCATGAGAGCCCACCCCTTGCATTAGCATGCCCTGGATGTGAGACAGGCAATTAAAGGAGATTCTGGAGCTTAAAGATTTAATGAATGCCCTGCAGAGTTTCAGACTTGAATGGGTTTCAGACCCCTTTGTTTTGGCCAGTTTCTCCCATTTGGAATGGGAACATTTACCCAATGCGTGGATCCCCATGGTATCTTGGAAATAACTAACTTGCTTCTGATTTTACAGGCTTATAGGCAGAAGGGACTTCACTTGTCTCAGATGAGACTTTGGACTTGGACTTTTGAGTTAATGCTGGAAAGAATTAAGACATTGGGGAACTGTTGGGAAGGCATATTTGGTTTTGAAATGTGAGAAGGACATGAGATTTGGAGGGGCCAGGGGGAGAATGCTATGGCTTGGCTCTGTGTCTCCACCCCAATCTCATCTCCAATTGTAATCCCCATGTGTCAAGGAAGGGATCTGATGGGAGGTGACTGTATCATGGGGGCAGTTTCCCCCATGCTGTTTGCATGATAGTGAGAGAGTTCTCATGAGATCTGGTTGTTTGGTAAGTGTCTTTCACTTCCCCCTTCTCCCTCTCTCACCTGGTGCCTTGTGAAGAAGATACTTGCTTCTCCTTTGGCTTCCTCCACGATTGTTAAGTTTCCTGAGGTCTCCCTAGCCATTCAGAACCGTGAGTCAATTAAACCTCTTTCCTTTAGAAATTACCCATTCTCAGGTAGCTCTTTATAGCAGTGTGAAAATGGACTAATACAGAAAGTATTTAACTTTAAATTCACTAGTATCCAAAGAAATAATGAAAATGGAGAAATGAACAACAAAATCATAGTACAATGTGATATGTACTAGGACAGGAAAAGCCCAAAGAAATCTATATATTTCCATTTATTTATCTCTGAAAGAAGGAAACTTTGCCTTATATTCCAAAGAAGAAAGCAATATTTTATTTTACTTGTAAAAATCTTGCAAGGATACTAGTCTAAATATAGTTTTCCTAATTTGCCAGAGAATCCATGAAGATCAAGTTGATAACATGATCAGTGAAGTAAAGGTCAGTTAATCTCACAGCAGCTGTAGGCTGATTCCATTTCCAGTGAAAAATGTCCTGATAGCTCCCCACATATCTTTTCACAAAAACAGTTTCAGTCTTAAGATAACAGGCTGCAATCCATGAGAAGTAACTATTAAGCCTTTGACTATGGCTGGAGGGCTCCTCATCCTTTCTGATAAATTGACTGGACGAAAACTCAATTTTAAAATGACAAGAAATAGAAGATATATAGATGTACTTTAAATGTGACCAAAATAGGTTGTGAAAACATAAGACACGATATCCAAAAATACTACTGTACACTGTAGGGTATTGGTTGTTTTACCCTTGTGATCACGTGGCTGAGCTTACTGCCACTGCTTAGCATTGCAAGAGCATCAAACTGCCTATCACTAGCCTGGGAAAAGATCAAAATTCAAAATTCCAAGTACGGTTTCTAATGAATGCTTATCACTTTTGCACCATTTTAAGTCAAAAAATCAGTAAGTTGAACCATCATATGTCCAAGATTATCTGTATGTAAATATTACACATCTTTCTCTCACTTTGAAAACAAAATAATACTAGCCAACACTAGCATTCTCAAAAGCACTTGTGTCAACAGTATTTACCCCTTAAAGATTTTCCTCACAATTTTACAATTGTTACTTACAATTTTCTTTGAAATTTTAACCAAATCTAGATTAAAAGATTTGGGGTTTTTAGTGACTGAATTATTTCACAAACTCTCTCATTCTGCAGTCTGACTTCTGCCTCCTAAAAAGCCCTTACCACAATCACTGGGGATGGCTCTTTTCAGCCTCTTCCTGCCCATTTGGTCCAGTGGTGTTTGGCATTCTAGGACTTCCCTCCTTGGCCTTGATA